AAATATAGAATAAAATACAACAGGGATTACTACATTTGATCAAAGGATTGAGTGATCATAATGTTCATTTCTATTTTCCGTATTTTTCTTTATTGAGCAGAATATTGCATTTATAATCAGGGAGAAAATATATGTATTTCACAACCCTTCCTATGTGGGTCAGCGTGCAGCCCATACAAATCTGAGCGTCTGAAGGCCCCCCCACACCCCCCCCCCAGGACTTTAGATCTGGAAGGAGAATTGGAAAACACATTGCAGCATAGCCCCCTCATCCTCAGTAAGGAAGATACAGCCTGGAGAATGCGCGCTCCTGGGTCTCAGGTGGTCAGTGGCTGTGCAAGGCACTCAGTCCTGTGTGTGGAGGCTGGCCAGTCACAGGTTGCACTGGGCAGGGGCAGCCGTGCAGGCGTGTCCTGACGGGGGATGCCCACGGAGTACCACAGAGACACACGCCACTGAGTCTTCAGACAGATCCTCGTACCTGTGCGCACAGAGCAGGGCCGAGAGCCGTGAGCAGAGGAGCCGGGGAGTTGGAGGGACACTGCGGGCAGAGGGACGGAGGGTGTTCCAGGCCGAGGGAGCAGGGTGTGCGAGGGGCAGCCAGGCCAGCCGGGCCAAGTCAGGGAGGTCTGGGGAAGGCGCTGACCTTGTTGTCTCGTCACAGTGGAGGGATGCTGAAAGCCTGAAGCAAGCTGAGCACCCAGTGAGACAGTGGAGACAGTATTAGGGAGCACGTGCTGGGGGTGGTCAAGGAGTAGGAGAGTGCTTGCAGCTGTGGTGCATCCCCTGTGACCAGCCGTGAGTGTTCTTAGGTGCCGACTCATAGCGACTGTGTGACCGAGTGAAACCTTGCCCGCGCCTGTGCCGTTTTCGTGATCATTGGTGTTTGAGTTCATTGTTGAGCTATTGTGTCAGTCCATCTCATGGAGGGCTTTCCTTGTTTTCACTGAGTCTCTCCTTTACCCACCATGATGTCCCGTTTTTGGCGACTGTCCAAAGTAAGAGAAGTCTTGCCATCCTTGCTTCTAAGGATTATTCTGGTTGTATTTCTTCTAAAACTGATTTGTTTGTTCTTCTGGCAGTCACTGGTACATTCAGTACTCTTTGTTAGCACCGCAGTTTAAATATGTCCATTTTTCTGTCTTCCTTTTTCATTGTTCAATTTTTGCGTGCATGTGAGGTGGTTGAAAAGACTATGGCTTGGATCTGGTGCGCCTTAGTCTTCAAAGTGACGTCTTTGCTTTTTAATACTTTGAAGAAGTCTTTTGCAGCAAGTTTGCCCAATGCACTGCATTGTTTGATTTCCTGACCGCTGCTTCCATGGCACTGATCGTGGATCCAGGCAGAATGAAATCTTGACAGCTTTAATTTTCCATTTATCATGATGTTTATCTGTCCATTTGTGAGAATTTTTGTTTTCTTTATATTCAGATATAATTCATATTGAAGGCTGTAGTCTCTGACCTTTGTCAGTAAGTGCTTGAAGTCGTCTTCACTCGGCAAGCAAGGTTGTGTCACCTGCATGTCGCAGATTGTTAATGAGTCTTCCTCCAATCCCGTTGCCACATTCCTCTTCATATAGTCTGGCTTCTCAAATTATTTGTTCATCGACAGATTGAATAAGTAAAGTGAAAGGATACAACCCAGCCAAACACCTTTTCCAGTTCTGAATCACGCAGTAGCCCCTTGTTCTGTTCAAATGACTGCCCCTGGATCTGTGTACAGTTTCCACATGAGCACAATGAAGTGTTCTGGAATCTCATTCTTCACATTGTTGTCTATAACATTACAAAGGTCATTTCCGGGGCAGGAGAAGGGAGGAAGTGGTAGATCTGAAAGACATTTGTCAAAACGTGTTGGCCAGTTATATGCAGAGGAGGAGGGTCAGACCAAATGAGAGGGGGCAAGAAGGGTGGGGATGGGGTTCAAGGAAGCCAACAGAAGGAAGAGAGTGTGGCTGATGGCTGCAGGGTCACAGGGAAGTGCACCAGAGGCCAGGTGGGGCAATGTAGAGAGTAGGGGACACTGGCCCTGGGTTGCTACCGAGAGGACCCAGACATGCTGGCGGCCACTTGCATGTGGTCTTCTGGAGGTCACATGCAGTCAGAAGGAGGGCCTTGTGTGGGGCCTTCGCTGAGCGGCTGCTTGTTGATCAGCTATCAGAGGCTCCTGGGTGAGTGTGGCCGGGATAATGTTTCTCCTGTCCTCTCGTATCCCAGCAACGTGGGGTCCCCATCCAGTCACGCAGCCAGTGGGGACTGGTCTCGGTGACAGGGTCTGGAGCAGCAGACAGAGGCAATGATGCAGGCTGGCGTGGCAGCCCCACTCAGGAAGGATAGATCCGGACAGCCACCCCGGAAACCTACCCGAGTGTTTTCTTCGGCACGTCCCCTGCTGTTAGCAGGTGCTGTTTCTGCTGGCTGCTGTCAGCAGCAAGAAGGAATCAGGAAAGCATTCTCCATCCAGAACCCAGCACTGGCCACCTCACACCCCCAGCTCAGCTGTTTTCAAACACTGTTTAGCAGTGGAACCCATTCTACAAATTAAATCTTGTTCTGAAGTCAGCATGTTAAGTAAATAACAACAAAGCCGCTCCTGAGACTGCCCGCGTGCCTCCTGCAGGGGCTGCAGGGCTCCCTGGCTTGTCGGGAACCATTGTCCTGAATATCAGAGACCCAGAGGACAGGCCACCGAGTCCCAGAGTCGGTGTGGGGGATCTCAGTGTCCAGAGGAACCTCCCAGGGTACCTGGTCAAGGGGGGACCTGTTGTGGGTCACACACTGAATCGGGGCAGGTGCAGCCTGTGCCCAGGCTCCCTGACTCCTGGATCCCACTCCTTCCAGCATGTCCACCTCTCTGCTTTAAATACAGGCCTTGTGTCCACGCCGCCTTAAATTATAAGGAATGGACCAGAAGTGAGAAGAGGGTGTGCCATGGAGGGGGAAGCTGCAGAAGAACTGGATAGACAGTCACAGGAAGTGCACTACGCGGACATATGGTCAGGGCAGGCAAGCCCACAGCCCAGGCACCCCAGCCACAGCAGTGGGGCCTGGGGGGGTCTGGTCCTCAAGGAGAAGCGGAGCTCAGGCTGTGTCACGGGTGGGCAGGAGGGAGGCAGCTTTGGAGGGAAAGGCAACCCAGAACCCTCCCTGAGTCACTGCAACCCCGTGGGGTGGGTCAGGGCTTATTTCCCAAGTGGGGTGTGGTGAATGCACCTCCCTGCGCCTGAAACGTCCCTGTGAGTTTGACCCCAGCTCACGGAAGGCCTGTACCAAGGTGATCGTCCCCAGAAACGTGTCCTTAAGCTGTGCAGTTCGCAGCGTGTCTTTCCTCTTAGCCCAGGTTCACCCCCATTCTGGCTTATAGTCTCGGAAGAACTGATAGGAAACCAATTCCAGTGAGAACAGATGGATGTGTGGGGACGGGGTTCACACACTGTCCCCACCAGAAGCTTCTGCTCCTGAAGGTGCTCCCTGTGAGTAAGAGGCCACAGAACACGCGGGCTGGAGGGCCTGCCCTGGAATATTTAGTCATTTATCTGTAGGAGATGGGCGTGGTACCTGGGGGTGTGTGGCATGAGAGTAAACAACCACTGCATTTTAACTCAGAAACAAGCCTGTTTAGATTCCAGGAACCAGGCCCAGTCACGTTTCTAGCATATCTAGGTGAAGCAGCATTTGGACTGCTCCTTACAACTAAGTTGGTCCCCGCTGCTCCTCCTGAATGCACGGGGCATTCTCGCAGGCTGGGGGTAATCTGTCACGTTAAAATTTGGTCCTTCATGTCTAGTCAAAATCTCAGTGTAGGAAACAAAACTCTACCCAGAGGCCATAGATCATGAAAAAGAGTGTGGTGCATCCTGTGATACAGCGGCTTGGAATAAACCAGATACGGTCTCATTTGTTTTGACCTTTGAGAACATGGGATAGCAGCTTGGTTCTCCCCTCTCCTCACCCCTCATGAAGTCTTGTCAAGGGAAACTTTATGGCCAAGAAGAGCCCGTGCTCTGTCGCTGTCAAAGCATGAGATGTCATTCAGCACTCCCAGGTGTGTGTGCCTCCACCCAGGGGAGGGTGGGCTCCCTTATGTCCCTTCGGAAAGGAGCTGGGACCACTGCCCCCCTGTTCACACCCTCCCTCCTTCCCTCTGCAGCCCCCCTCCCTGCACCCTCCCTCCCTCCTACTGTGGCCCCCCTCCCCGCACCCTCCCGCTGCAGCCCTGGGTGAAGATCCCTCTGCCGGCCCCCCTGACCACAGCTCCACCCAGTTCTGTGCCGTCTTCACATTGTTGTATCCACTGTGTATTTTAAGTGCTTTCCAACCTAGAGGGGCTCGTCTTCCAGCACTGTCTCAGACAGTTCTGTTGTGAGCCACAGGGTTTTTGCTGGCTGATTCTGAGAAGTAGATTGCTGGGCCTTTCTTCCTAGTCTGTCCTAGTGTGGAAGCTCCGCTGAAACCTGTCCATCATGGGTGACCCTGCTGGTGTTTGAAAGATAGGTGGCACAGCTTCCAGCATCACAGCAACACACAGGCCACCACAGACGGGTGGCAGAGTTTAATTTATCAGTGGGGATAATTGTTTAGGAGAATTTAATCTGCTCCACTCACAAGTTAAAGGTTTAATTAGAGAATAAATGAAAGTGTATACTTTTAATTTTCCTACCAAAGGTTCCAGTTTATAAGCAGAATGACAAATGTCTTTTTCCTTCCCTTTAATCTGGAAGCATCTTCCCACCTCTCCTTGTCCTTTATGACTTACGGTTTTGCGGAGTTTGGGCAGGGGCTGTGTCCACTCTGTTTTCAGTTGTGCCCACACCTGCCCTCACCTGGCCCACACCTGGCTGCCGGCACCTGCCCTTCCCACCCCTGAGTCAGTCTGACCATGGCACAGGCTCTGACACGTCCTCCGTCCTTCAGACCTCCCGCCTGTCCTTCCTTTCTCCACAAATAACATTATCCCCAGCACCTCCATCCCTGAGGAAAATCCCTTCCTGCTTCCAGCCCGCCGGGGTCATCTTGGTGAGCATCCACTCCAGCCCCAACGACCAGATGCTTTGGGCAATTGACAACAAGTGGAACGTGCACGTCCGCACTGGGATCACCGACGAGATGCCAGTGGGGACCGACTGGGAGCACGTGCCAGGTACAGACAGTGGCTCCCGCCGCTGCCTTCCACCTGTGTCCAGGCAGTCCTGCGTATGGCCGAGCACCAGGTGGGCAGCTCCGTGGTCACATGGGGGGGTGCTGGCCCCCCTCAGCACCACTGTCGGTAAAGGCAGCCTCATGGTCATGTGGGGGTGCTGACCCCCACCTCTCAGCACCACTGTTTCTACTCCTCTTCTGAGGCATTAACACCTGTGGACCCGGCCCAGGCCCTCTCTGTGTTAGAACTTCCGCCTGGCCCTTGGAGCCCTTCTGTGGGCTGGTGGGCCTTTCCAGACCACCCAGGACCCTCATGGCCTTTGGCCTTCATGGCCCTGGGATCCTGCCCACAGGCTACCCTGTCCCCGGGCTCCTGCTCTGTCCCTTCCAGAGGGACCCAGATGTCCCCCGGGTCCCCCCACCCCTGGGATCCACAGGGTCAGGGGACACACCATGTCTGCCCACAGGGCTACAGGCCTGTCAGCTGACGCTGAGCACAAGGACTGTGTGGGCCCGCTGTCCTAATGGAGACGTCGCCCGGCGGTACGGTGTCACCGACAAGAACCCTGCTGGAGACTACTGGAAGAAAATTCCTGGGAACGTGTCATGTGTCACAGGCAGGTGCCTGGGCACGGGGAGTGCGAGGCTGCGGTGTTCCTCTGGGGTTATCGGGGCCTCTGTGGAAGGCATGGGGGGCTCTGGAAGGCAGGCTCGTGCTCTCATCCAGGCTGCTCCGCTGCCTTCCACCTCCCACGATGAGGGCAGCCCCCTGCAGGAGCCCAGCCTAGGGTCACACCTGAGGGAGGGCACATGAGGAGGCCCGGGCACTGGGCAGCCCCTTTATGAGGTGGAGAAACTGAGGCGCAGGTTGGGGAGCGGCTTGTCTAAGGTCTCCCAGCTAGAAAGTTTGGCCGTGGGCCAGTTCTGTGACCCCATCGAGCCCTGGCCCCAGGGAGGTGATGCCAGGCGTGTGACGGCTCTTTCCCTGCAGTGACGGCCGCTGATGAGCTGTGGGCAATCGGCCCCCCAGGCTACCTCCTCCAGCGGCTGACAAGAACATTCAGCCATTCACACGGCGCCCAGAAGGGCAGCCTGGCCACTGCCACAACCCACCCCGAGGACTTTGAGGATGAGTGGGAGGTCATCTGAAGGAGCGCTAGGGGCCGATGCACTCAGGAAGGGAGCTGCGACTTCTGCAGGGGCCACGGCGGGGCTGAGCCGCTCCCACGGACATGCCTCATCGGCCTCGTCTGGCCAGGCCAGCCACCCACGCTTGCTGTCATCTGTCTCTCTCCGTCTTATCCAGAACGCACAGCCTCTGCCAAGTGATCCCCGGCACCTCCAGGCGGCAGCTGCTTCCCAGGTGCGTGCACAGCAGTCCCCGCATCCTGCGGTCACGAGCTCATCATGGGAGGTCCAGGTTCCACTGGCGGGGGTGGTAATGGGGGAGCCTCTGCGTGGGGGGAGGCCAGAGCCAGGGCCAGTGGGAGTGGAAGTGATACTCTCAGCATTGAATGTTTCTCACCTCGGGGGGCCCATCGCCTCCTGAATAGACACAGGTTCTAGTACATTCCATGCTAGACTTCCACCTGGAGACAGTAGGGTACAGGGCTACACATGGATGAAGAACACACACCCACACATGCACACAGCGTACAAGCCGCACACACACCACAAACCGCACAGGGCAGAGCAGGGCTGCCTCCTGGAGCCCGTGCTTTCAAGTGACAACAATAAAGGCTAATGGATGCAAATGGGATATCTGAGTGTGCACGTGTGTGAACCTGTGACCCCTCCCCGAGGCAGGGACGGCACAGGGGCCAGTCAGGTGCGGGGGCTAAGCTATGTTAGCTACTCTAGAAAGATCTTAGCAAGGTCTTCACAGTGACATTTAGCAACACTGCTGGCGGGCACCATGAACCACAAGCATCCTCAGAGGCTGAATCTACTCCTTATTGCCTCTGTTGTTTGTTTATTGCAAACCTGTGTGATACCTCATCTGAAATCAGAGCTTACAAATTTGGAGAGACATATATTTTCTGATACCAGTGGGAGGCCTTTTGTCTTCCCGGCTTGTCCTGAGCCTGTGCTGCCTGCGGCTGCAGCGTCGGGGGCGCACCTCCCGCGGCCTCGGCTCACAGGGCAGTCCCACCCACTCCACATGCAAGCCCAGCCCCTTCAGCAGGCAGTTCCGGCCAACACCTTGGAATTTGGACCTGTTCCTGCTGTGGCCACGCCAGGGCACTGGCCCTTAGGGTCAGCCTGCAGTGCCCACCCCTCTCACTGGCATCTAAGCGTGGGGACCGGCCAGCCAGCTGCATGTCCACGCCAGCCCACAGCCCTCACCCTCCTGGAGGCAGCCCCAGGAGCACTCCAGGGAGCGCCGTTTTTAGCCAGCCTTTGGCCCGCAACCCATCACTCAATACCTGTTTTCTATATGAATGGGAGTGTGCTAGGGAGTCCCAGGCCATGGGAGAGCAATCAGTATGTTATCTGACAGGCAATAAATATGTTCTCTGACAGCGCCAGCCAGCAGGGAGGAGGAAGGAGTTTTCTATGTCCAGTGAGGACAAGAGGCTGAAATCCCAGGTCTGTCTTCCACTCAGTTTTGTACAAATAAGCTCCGTGATCACCAGGCGGCCAGCTAGGCACCTGGTGCCGACGGTGTTCTCCCAGACCGGCGGACGGTAGTGCAGTCCCACCCGGGTGTGGTCTTTGTGCACTTGTCTTTCTGGCTTTGATTTTTAGTTGTGCTTTGAGACAGTGCAATAAATAGACTTTTCCAAGCCAGCCGAGTCTGCTGTTTGAGCTGAGAAGGGGCCTCAGCAGACACTGCAGAGGCTGGTGTCCCCTCCCATGCAGGCAGGGGTCTGCCGCTGCTGTCTGCCCACCGCCCACTGCCAGGAGAGTGTGTGACTGGGCAGGACTTGGTGGCGTGGCCGGCGTGGGGTGTGGTCACTCCAGAGCTGGACCTGCTGCAGTAGCACCTGGGGAGGACGCCTGAGACAGTGCTGATTGTCTGCTCAGAGGCCTCAGGCCTGCTTTGAGGGGTTCATGTCCCTGGTTAAATAAGTCTCCATCCAAGAAACAAAACTGGGTACCAGAAGTGCCCAGTGGGAAAATTAGCACGCGAAAACGACCACACTTCTAACAGCAGCCAGACAGATAATGGGCCCGGTATTAAGAGGCTGAGCTTTAGGCAAGGCAGAACGGTTGAATCAATGAAGAGCATTCGACTGGGTACACGTAGGTGCCAAGACATCAGTCTTTTCCAGATAGTTTATAGGTTTAATTTCATTTCAGTCAAAATCCCCACGGGGATTTTTTTGTTGGAGGGAGACAGGAAGGAATTCACAGAACACTGTTAGCACCCACAAACCAGCCCCCTTGACTGTGCCAGGCGTGCCCTGGGCCTCACACGTGCAGCTTCCCATCTCCCCACTGGGCCCTGCCCCACGAGGCTCCGAGAGGCTCGGTGACCTGCTCAAGGTCAGGGGAGCCCTGAGACTGGAGCCGGTTCTACAGGACCCCAGACCTGTGCCATTTGCTGCCACACCGCCTCCTATTGGTCCTGGGAAGAGGAAACAGGTGAGACTCGCCCAGAGGGACGGCAGATAGGAGCCCTGTGCGGTCAGCATGTCAAGGACAACCTGGGCCCAGAACAGTCACGAGGACCAGTGAGATAAAGCAGCGGCACAGCTCTGTGGGGACGCCACAGCTCCGTGGGGACTCAGCATGATGGTAGTGTCCCCAAGGCAGGGGAGGGGGGACTGTTTCCCTGCTTAGTTATTTGGACAGAAAAAATCAGTCTAGCTCCTTTCCTCACATGGTACACCAAAGTACATTCTACACGGATTGAGGAATTTTAAATACTAGAGGAAAAGCAAATTCACGTCTGGTTTATGGATGGCAAGTATTTTCTGAACTCGAGAGTGATCGGAAAAGCCACAGGAAAGTAAGTATATGGACTTCATTTCTCCACAATGTAAAAATGCTGTAGATTAAAAACCCCACATAAACTCAAAAGGGAAAACGATTGCAATAGATGGGACTTCGATGTTGAGTATGTACCTTAAATGCGCGTACGTGTCAGCGGAGTCGGAGGGACAGAGACGCGTCTGGACAAAGGAGGTGAAAGGGCACTTCACGAAATGCCAAAGGCTGTCAAGTAATGAGCTTGGGGCCCACAAACGGACGAGGGCAGGGCCGAGCTCCATGCACAGGGACTGCCCGCTGACAACTCCACCCTTCTGGGAAAGGCAGCTGACTGTCCCTCCGTGGCCTTAAACACGCCCCAGCCAGTGAGCCCCACTGCTGGCGGTCTCCTCTCAGAAACGCATCCTAAGTCGGGATGAACGGAGTACAGCCTTATTTATCGTGAAATGAGGATGTTTTCACCCTGACAGTTCAGGGAATGGTGATGTTAGGTTTGGCACAGTCTGCCTGTGAAATAGTGTGCAGTTGTTAAAAAGCAGACGTACCTGGTGGTGGAGCCATCCCTTACATAATTTTATTGTATAGGTGTTAAATTTCCTGGCTGTGGTAATGGTGCTGTGGTTTTGGAGGAGATCATACGTGCACACAGCAGGGGAGGAGATAATGCAGTGTTGCAGGGGATTCAAGGCACTCTTCTGACTGCTCTAAGGGTGAAAGGTTTTATGATCCAAGAGGGGGTGCAGAAGAGGTGGAAGGAAACAAGTTCCCTAACAAGAAGCGGGTCACAGCGGTTGCCTGTCCTCCGTACCTTTTTGTATCTTTTGAATTTTGAGCCAGGTACATGTATTATTTATTCTAAAAATAAAGTGTAAAATCTAAAAACTTAGTCTTCTCTAGCATTAACTCTTTATGGTATCAACCGTTGTTCAATTGAATTTCACAAACACACCAAGAATCATACTTGCAAACTGCTTTATAACATAGGAAATGTTCATTTACAGTAAGCTTGAAAATACTAAATTGTGAGTGATATGATCTCATGTATGTAAAAAACCATGCACGGAAAACTTTTTAACTATATATACATGTAGAGAGAGAAAACCGGAAGACGGCACACCGAAATGTCAGCAGTGGTCGTCTGGGGCGGGGGGTTACGGCAGTTTGCCACCTCTTGACTTGCTACTAGACGCTTCTTTAATGTGGTCCCCTGTGCCAGGTGGGCCCCTGCCCCCAGGAGCTTCAGGGTGAGGATCAAGTGGGCAGTCAGTGTTTCCAGAGGGCTCAGCCCGCCTGCCCTGGTTGCTGTTCATAACCCTGGTGTTCTACCATGAGCATGAATGTTATCAGAAAAATTTTTAAAAATCACCAAAGATAGAAAATCTGGGATGATGGAAATGTCGGCCTTGATTGTGGGTGGTGGTTGCGTGCTTATAGACACTTGTCATAACTCGTCGAATGACCCTTAAAATCTGTGCATTTTAGTCTGTGTAAATTATGCCTCAATAAAAAAGGTATGGGGAACACCAGCCACTGCGGAAACAAGCTCGAATACGAGTAGCTTTCCCCTGAGCAGGCTCCCTGCCTTCCAGGAAGCCATCTTGTTCTGAGAAGGGTTGGGGAGACACGAAGCTGCTCTCCATGCAGTAGTTGAAAATCTGTCAGTTGGGAGGAAGGGCACAAGGGAGCGGGACATGGTGGCTGGGTGAGGTTGGCTGCTGAAGGCTGCGAAGCCCAGCCCGGTGGGAGGTGGTCCAGGGGCAGCCAGGGCGGGGCCGGAGGAGGAGGCCGAGCGGGAGGGCCGCGGTCCGCAGCCACCGCAATGCCGCACGGCGTTCTCTGGTCATTCTTCCAACGTACCCTCCCGCAGCTGTTCTCAGGCTGACTTCAGTGAGCCGGAGAGGTCACTGTCCTGGCCAGGCGTCTGCGGTGGGGACACTGGGCGCTGGGGGGAGGGGCTAAACTGGCCGCGTCCGGGTTTTCCTTAGAAACAGTCGGAATGAATGAACGAACGGACCAATGAGCTTCCGCCCAGAGGAGAACCCGGCTTGTCGGGGCACAGCCAACCAGCGTCTGCCTGGGCGGGCCGGCCCCTCTGCGGGTCTGCCCTGAGTCTTGCGCACACGTCCGCGGGGCAGGGGATGAGACTCGGGGCGACCTCCCGGGCCCCTCCGAACGGCTGGCTGGCAACAGTGGTCGCCAGATACCCCGGAGCCGGTTATGCGGCCTGTCCCTGGGTTCTGCGCCCTCGCCAGTGCGTCCAGGTGAGGCCAGGAGAAACGTGCGGGCATGGGCCTTCCCACAGGGTGGGTGGCCCTGGCCTCGCTCCGCCCACTCAGGGTTCTGGGCCTTAGTTTCCAACACCTTCCCTGCTAACTCCCATCGGGGGCGGCCCACCCCAATGATGATATCTGGGTCTAATGACCAGGGCTGCCCTCCTCCAGCCCCCTCCAAGGCATAGGGGCCAAGAGTGAGCCCAGTCACCGAGCTGAGGGACCAATCCCACAGCCACTGCTCTCTCCCAAGAGAGTTGCTTTCTGGTCCTTCACCTCTACCCCGACCTTGCTGAACCAAACACACCTCCCTGTCCCAGCCTTCCCTGCACCTTTACTGGGCTGGGCCCTCGCCCTGTGACACCTCCAGCTTCTCCTGCCTGGCCACCCTGCCATCTAGGACCAGCCCAGGTGCCTCCTCACCCAAGTGCCTGACACTGGGCTCCGTGGGGTCCTGTCCTGGTAGTTTCTGTCTCAAGGGGACCCCCCCCCCCGACCGCCAAGGCCTGAGTCCTGCCTAGCCAGCAGGGAGCCCTGGAAGTAGGGATAGCTCCCCACCGCATCACCTTCCCCAGGGCCAAACCCCAAGAGCCACCAAGGCTTGCTGTCCTGGGCCCCTCCAGAGACTGGACCCCCATCCCGCCCCATAGTGTCTGTCACTGACCTGAGGACCTGGTACCTCCTAGGAGACCGCAGGGGCTCTCAATATCCCAAATTTTGGGCTGGGAGAGAAATTAGTATCCACAGGCCAAGGTTCAGGGCAGGAGGCTGTTTAACTGGCCCAGGGCATGCAGCAGGAGCCCTTTGTAACTGGAATCACCCTCATCCTTTCCTCCCCCTCCATCCTGCCCACCTGAGGCAAGGTGTGACTGCGGAACCCCAAGGAAAACTGGCTGCCCAGCCATGTTGGATGCTCAAAGTTCAGTTGCTCTCGATGATCTGGATCCCAGTGGGGCCCCCAATCCCAGCCCTACATTTCCCAGAAATTGGGATTACATCCCATTTCTGGTAGGGAGATGGCCCCAAAACCCCTTGAAGGCAGAGAAACTGAGGTCCAGAACAGGGCAGGGGCTCATCCAAGGTCACCCTGAGAGTGGGTGCAGGTCCAGGCCAGAACCAGACTCCCCCAGGTAAGACCCTCCTGCTGCCCAGTGCTGTCCACACCCTCCCTCCTAAGGCCCAGCACCCTCTAGGCTCCCAGGCATGCTCCCCTCAGGAACACCAGGGGCGGGTGGCAGTAGGTGCCCCCAACCAGCTGGTCACTCCTTGCCAGGCAGACTTCCAGCCCTCAGCGCCTGGCAGGACACAGCGGCCCTCCCTCGGGTTAAATTTCACAGCCCTGCAGAATTCCCAGGCAGGGCAGCCTGGCCATCCTCCCTGGCTCCGCGGCTCCTCGGGGTGTGGCCCCAGCTGCTCAGCTGGGGGCCCTGTCTCCTGAGGATCCTGGTTGTATTCATTAGCTCCTTCGCTCAGGGAGGCACAGGGAGCCCCAAGGATCCAGCAGAGGCTCCGGGAAGTGGTTAACCCTGAGTCCCTGCATACCCACAAACACAAGTCTCCATTTCCAGAAACTTCCTTCAGAAACCGGCTCTCCAGGCTGCGGCAAGAGGGCACATCACAGGGTGATGCAGCCACACCCTCAGTCACTCACCGGTGTCACTTAACACCACAGGAGGCCAAGCCCAGGGGATACATGGGAGCCCACCCCAGTTCTGGACAGAGGGTGAGCCTTGGAGGAGGGGGAGGCTGCAATGTCTAGGGTGAGAGCAGCACGTGCCTACTAACTGGGGCAGAGCAAGAGTGGCAACAGGGACCAGTGTGGACCTAGGTGGGGCACCTGGGGGCGCTGCAGGGATAGCCACGGGGCAGGTGGCCAGTCTGTGGGGGGACAAGAAGAGGCACAGGCATGGGTGCTGGGTTAGAGAGAGGGTTCAGGCGGCTAGTCTGGGCTAGAGGAAGCCTGCACAAGCAGGAGAGGTTTCTGAGACTCAGGGCCCAACCCTCCAAGACTGCGCTGAGATCACAGGGCTGAGCCTCCAGAGCAGGAACTCGTAGGAGGACATGACCATGACCGCTCCTGCCACAGGCCTGCCCAGCCCTCCCCACCGCCCGGGGTCACGTCCAAGCTGACCAGGAAGTTTATGAGGCCCTAAATGACCTGCTTGCCTCTGCTGTGCTGACGCCTAGTTGGGCTTCCTCTTAGACCTCACTGGGTCTCTTGGCCTTGTACATGCTGGCCCCCTACATGGAAGCCCAGTCCGCCCCACCTGCGCCTGCTCAACTCCTTCGTGCTGTCCCTTCCTCTGGGAGACCTTCTGGAGGCCCTAATTCACGGTGGCAGGCCGATCCTCACCCTCAGGGGCTGGTTGGCGAGCTGAGGCAGGGCTGGCCCCTGCTTGACACCCAGAAAACCTGCTGCTTAGAGCCCAGCCTGACTACCCAGGCCCAGTACCACAGACAAGGCAAGACTTTGCTGCACAGAGATCAGTCTATGTAAAGTGTCGGGTGTAACGCTCAGAAAAATAATTTTCCCCACAAGCCCTGCCCCCAGGGCACCCTGTGGTCTAGCCCTTTCCCGTGAGGTCCAGCGGCTGCAGGAAGGGCGGCAACGGCAGCTCGTCCAGGGCCTCGGGGAAGCGGCCTGGGGAGATGGCGGTGACCAGCACCTGCATGGCGCGCGCGAAGAGTGAGGGCGGCGCCAGGCCCGCCAGCCACTGGAACTTGTCCTCGCCCAGCAGCCGCTGCCAGCGCAGCCGGTCACCCAGCAGCTCGCGGCGGGTCGGACCCGCGGCGCCCTCAGGCGTGTACAGCGCCAGTAGGTCCAGCAGCAGCAGGCGGTGCTGGCGCGGCTCCCCGGGGGCGGGGGCGCCCGAAGCCCCGGCAACTGGGCCAGCCCCGGCGTCGCGGCCCAGCTGGCGCAGTAGCAGCTCCAGTGGTGTGAGGCCGTCGGCATCGCGCAGGCCCGGCGAGGCGCCGTGGCCAAGCAGCAAGAAGAGGCACTCGGGTCGCGCCAGCTCACAGGCCGCGTGCAGCGCAGTACCACCGCCTTCCACGCGGCTGCAGCCCCGCCGGTCAAGCAGACGCGCACGCTCCTCGGCTGGGAAGTCGCGCACGGTGCGCAGGATGCGACGAAGCACGCCCACGCGGTTGTAGCGCACTGCCAGCGCCACATGCGGCCCTGGCGCGGCGCAGCAGCGGAAGCCGGCAGAGGGCGGCGCGAGCGCGCGGCGCGGGAAGGTAGCCAGCAGATAGTGCGCGTACGCCTGGTGGTCGTGCACGAGCGCGTAGAGCAGCGCCTCAGAGGGTGAGTAGGCGGTGGCACGGCCGCGCTCGTCCCAGTGAAAGGCCTCGCTGGCACGCATGTCCTCGAGCAGCCACACGGGCAGCAGGTCACGCACGGCCTGGTAGAAGGCAAACGACGACTTGCGGCACTGCTTCTGTGCCCGCGAGCGCGCCGCGCCCGCGCCCTCGGGTCCGCCGTCCGCGCCTCCCCCAGGCCGCCGCGCATCCCACGGCATGCTGGCGGCTAGGCGCCTCCTGACCTCACGACATGGGCCTCCGGACAACCACCTGCGGACAGAGGAGCTACAGTGAGGGGTCTGGGAAATGGAGGCCCCCACAGGGGCTCCCATTCACGCCTCATGAGGCCCCACCAGCCTGACCCCTTTGTCTGGCACCCTCCAACTTCCGCCCTTCCAGTCACTCCCCACTGCTCCCTTCTCTCCTAGGCCCTGAACCACTTCCGGCATCCTTGATCCAACTGCACCTGATCTCGCTCCCTGAAGTTGTTTTGTTCTCTGGTCCCTCTGCCCAAGATGCCTTCCCTGCCCCTGCCCTTACAGCCCCACCCACCTCAAGACCACTGAAACCCACCTCCCCAAGCCCTTCAGTCCTGCTCCTCACCCCTCTCCACCCCAGGCACCCACTGGAGGACAGAGTTCCTGCTCCCTCCTGGCCCAGGCCCATCCCACCTCTAGTAAAGATAAGAGATAGGGAAGCTGGTGCCTACCTCTCCTGCTGAGCCTAATCCAGACTCCAGCCCGGGCCCCTTGCCCCCAGCCCCACCTAAAACCAGACCATGAAGAGGTGCTTGCGGCCCTAGCACGGCCACCCATGCCTGAGTCACTTCCAGCCAGGCTCTAGACGCAGACCCACCTGGTTCTGCAGAGATGGGTATGTCACTGTCCCTTGCTGTGCCTCAGTGTCATCATCTGTAAGAAGAGGGGGAAGGCTGTTAGCCCCAGCTGGGTAAGTCGGGGCAGTGGCTCCAGCACTTCACCCACAAACACGTTCAATGTTGGCCATTGCCCCTAGAGCTCCTGGGGGGAAGCAGAAGGGTGAAGCCACCCTAGAGACTGGTGTGCACAACACTTGACAGTTTGCACAGCCCCGCCGGGTCTGCTGCTGTCTGAGGCCTCTCAGCCACTGGATGAAACGGGTACTGCCGTCCTGTTGAGAAGAGCTTGTCCAAGGTCACCAGGCCTAGTGCCCAGGCTCCTGCCTCCCATTTTGGAATCATCCCAGACGTGGTGGGGCCCCCGAGTCGCAGGGAGCCCTGCCCCTGCCCTCCGCGCCCCAGCCGCTGCCTGTGCCCTGGCCCCGGAGCCCTGGCCGCGGCCCAAACTTCCGACTGCTTTCTCTCAGGTCACAAGGGCCTGGGGCAGCGGAAAGGCCGGTCCGCACACCCCGGGCCACTATCACTGGTGGTAACTGAGTTGCAGAGTGCGGCGCAGCGGGGGCCGCGGCCACAGCGCCCCTCGAGGCAACATCGCGACTGGAGTCTCCTTCCCAAGCCTGAGCGCCCCAGGTGTGAGTGTGGGCACGCGTGGGGCGCCGGGCGGTTACGTAAAGTTCGGCCCCCGCGTCACTGGGCAGCGAGTGGCGGCCGCGGCTCCTTGACTGGGTAGGGGGCTGGGGCCGCCGAGGGTAGCGAAGCGCTTCTGGGCGCCTGCACGCCCTCCCGCGACACGGCTGGACGGGGGCAGGCCGCAGGGGGCGCGCCGGAGGCCAGCGAGGCCGGGGCTGCCCCTGCGTGTGCGAGTGCCCGGGGCAGAGCGGGTCCCGCGGTCAGGGGC